TCTTTGAGTAGCACCTTTTGAGTACCAATACATGATCCCAACCATCCAATATAAAACAAAAGATTCTTGATAAAATACAAAGAAGAATCTGCAGTGTTATTGGTCCTAACCTGGTATCTAGACTTCAGTCATTTCCCACCACTGTAATGTAACTTCGCTGTGCCTTTTCTATAATAAATACTTTCATAGTAATAGTTCTGATGAACTCTCATCTATGGTACCTAGACACTATGAATTTAAGCATAGTATTAGATTGGTGACTAGGTCTCATCATTTTACAGTTGAAATGACTTGCTAACAGTTTCTTCACTCACACTTCTCACTTGTGAAACTCTCTCCTGCCCTGCCAACTTTAATTTTCAAAAATTTAAATGCAATGTCAATCATTATCTTCCATATTCTTAATTCCTGTTCTTTTATTGTTCTCTCTCCTTAATAATGTTTTTTCTCATATTCTCCAACACTCTGTAACTCCTTGCATCCTAGTGGTTTCATTGCCTTGATTTGGGGAAGGAGGGGGGTGAAATGAATAAAAAATCTAGTGACAGTAAGCACCAAGGAATATCCTGATATGTTTTTAGATATTTTTGAACCAAGCCAACTTTGCAGTTCTGTCACTATATCCATGGCAAATATTCAGATGAGTTCTATGTTTTTAGTTCCACCAGTTCAGACCTTTAAAACTAGGACCACCATGCCACTTCCACATTGTTGAAATCATCTTCATTTCCTCTGTGTCCCAAATATTTCCAACCACCATAATTTACCTTCCGTGCACGTTTTCTATAAATACTTTCATAATAATAGTGCTGATGATAATAATAGTGCTTTCATAATAATAGAGTCTAGGTACCATAGTGCTCTATGGTACCTAGTCTCTATGAATTAAAGCATAGCGCTAGATTGGCGACTAGGTCTCATCATTTTACACTTGAAATGACTAAATGTAATTATAAGTTCTATGTTAACAGTTTCTTCTATCGCACTTCTCACTTGTGGAACTCTCTTCCAGCTTCTTGCTTCCCAGTCAGATTTAATCTTCAAAAATTTAAATACAATGTCAATCGTTATTTTGTGTCTTATTAATTCTTATTCTTTTATTTTTCTCCCCTCGCCTTAATTGTAATTACCTTTCTTTCTCTCTTCTCATACTCTCTAGCACTCAGTAACCCCTTGAATCTTAGTCGCTCTATTGCCTTGCTTGGGGTGAAATGATAACAAAGTGATATGCAGATGGAACAATATTGATAGCAGACACAGAAAGGAAACTACATTTGTTCCTACTGAAAAGACAGTGAGAAGAAAGGATTATGGATTAACTGTAAGACACAAAATATTTAATGAGCTTGGATAAAAGGATGGCGGAACAAGTTATAGGAGAATTAACAAAAAGACAAAATTTATTAAGGATATTGCGGAGAGCCATGATCGCCTAGGTTCTGAAGTGGCACGACACATATAGATAAAGAATGGCTAGATTGCCGAAAAGCCTATTGATACGGCACGTGTGGATCACTGAATGCCCAATTTTGTTTGGGATAGCTAAGAACGTTGGCAATATTTTGAGTTGAGGTATAAGAAGCTGAAAAACTCAGTTGACATCATGCGGAAAGAAACCGGCAATGTTAAAGGTTAAGATTTAGCTTATCCCTTTTCCTGTATGTTCTATGCGGGATTTTCTTGTTATTAATCCTATGGTATGTGAAATCTGGCTATGATTTAAAACAAAAAGACACAGCAGAGGATTAACAATCGGTTTCTTATGAATGATCCAAAGCTATATGATAAGATTGAAGCCAAGATCAGTTTATTGGTTTATACAATGCATTGCTTCAGTTCGGAGATTAGAATTGAAATTGGTCTCAAGTGTGCAGTTTCTATTTTGAAAAGGAATGAAGTGCACGGGAGGCCTTGAATTACTGTCAGGGGAAACAATAAAGCAAATAGAAGCGACTGGATGCAAATATATTAGGGTGGATATGTAGAGGCGGAAATGAAAACGGCCTTTACCCATGATCATGTTCAAAGACGTCAGGCTTGTTCTAGGGTCAACGCAGAAGAGGAGGAACGGAATTCTGGCGATTCTTATAAGGACAGTTACATTGTTGAGATATAGCGCAGGCATACTTAACAGGCACCCAAGAGCCACTCAAGGTAGAATGTTACCGATGGAGATGAACAGTCGCATTGTTGAGATATTACGCAGGCACACTCGATAGTTTAATTGATGAGATATAGTGCAGGCATACTAGGAAGGCCCAAGAGCCACTGAAGGTAGAGGGTTACTGAAGATGGTGAATCGTTGCATCGTTGATATATAGCGTAGGCAAACTTGACAGGCTCCCAAGAGCCACTCAAGGTAGAAGGCTACTGATAGAGATGAACAGTCGCATTGTTGAGATATTACGCAGGCACACTCGATAGTTTAATTGATGAGATATAGTACAGGCATACTAGGAATGACCAAGAGCCACTGAAGGTAGAAGGTCAACCGTTGCACGGGTATACTTGACAGGCTCAAGAGCCACTCAAGGAAGATGATACCTGAAAGTGATAGTTGCACCGTTGAGATATAGTGCAGCCATACTTGACTGACAGAAGGATGAATTGCAGGTGCTGGACAGGATGACAAGGAAAATGCTGACAATGCGTGGCGTGTTACATCCAAACACTTACATTGATCGATTGTATTTGTCAAAAGAGAAAAGTGGGTTCATGACGCAGAAGTTGTGAAGACTTTGGGAATACAGAAGAAAGTAGTCTTGGTACACAGAATATGTAGCAGAACCCACGGTTAAGAAATTTGGTAAAGTTAATACTAACTCGAAGACCGTATAATGATATAATCAACATGCTAACATTCCATACTACCCCAAACAAAAAGCAAGGAAGAAAATATCTGTCAGTACTAGAAAGGGTTTTAACAACAACTGGATTTGGAAAACTTATTTTCCTGAAAAACTGTTTTACAAGAAAGATTTTATAAATTCCAACCGACAACATGCCTAAATGATCGCCCAGTGAAGGTCATAAGCCAGGGAAGTTCAACGCACTACACCCTAAAATATTTAGCTTTATTTTCACTTACTCTAGTAATGTATGTTGAGAAAATTATTCTTAAATTGTGCTAGTGGGTTCACTTCCCCATTCCTCTAAAAGGGCAAAGGGCAAAGGGCTAAAGGCTTTTGCCGAGACACACCGGCTGGTTCATGGGCCAGGAGCCAGAGTTAAATAAAAATGATTTAGCTTATTGTTGTGGTAGGATCCACCTAATTTGCATAGTGGAGTACCGACCATATAAATATGGTTGGTACCGGGAAGAGAGGAAGGAATCAAGAGATTCAACCAGAGACTCTGCCCGACTGCGACTCAGTCAACACATTCTCCAGGAACGGTCTTACCAGGAATATACAAAAGACTATATGTAAATATTGTGTACACTTTCTTGTTTCAATACATTTTGTTCTAAGTACATTTTGTGTTGCATTATTATTCCATGCATTAGTCAAGTTTCACCAGTTATCTAGAAAACTGTTATACACGTGGGGTAGTACATACTGCTGTGATAATTTCTTTTCGTTCATGAATGCCATCAAAACTGTTGAAAGAAATAGATTTAGTGATTCCCCTTTAACTAACATTCTTAAAATAAAGACTAAGACCTTAAAAGCAGATATTGACAATATTATAAGAGGAAAGCAATGTTAAAAATCACATTGAATTTATTTTATTTTGTCTATGTATAATTTCTGTTTTTTTATTGTTAATATGCAGTATTTTTGTAATTATATATATATTTATTATTAAAATTTGATATTCACGTTTTGAACATTTTAAAAGCATATTTATATAATATACTTTTGTTTCCTGGTGAATATCCCAAAATTCCTAATTTGGCCCATTTGGAAAGAAAAAGGTTGGTCAGCCCTGTAAAGAAAACGGCTAATGTTACCGTTACTATTAACATTCTTGGAAAAAGGAGAAATACAAAAAAACATTAAAAATGATGAAAATGAAAATAGATGGAATGAAAAAATGTATCAGCAGATCATCAGAGCTGTTCCAAGAAAAATCCACACACGAGGTGGAATTGGCTTCTGAAGAGTGATTTGAATGGCCATTGACTTGAAGAGGTTAAGATTGGTCATTGACTTGAAGAAGTTAAGATTGCAATGTTTATGAAAGAATCCATGAGGGATTTTGTACCAAAAAGTATCAGTTATTGGGAAAAATCCATCTGAGTGGAACATTCTCCTTATATTTTGATATAAGTGTGACACTGTTTATACTGACCATACTTATAAAACTCAGGTTGTGTGTGTGTATGTGTGTGTGTGTGTGTGTGTGTGTGTGTGTCTGTACGTTTATATAATGGATCGGATTTCCTACATTTTTTAACCGATTTCAACAAAACTTCACAGGACTACGTAAAATTACCTTGCGGTGGTTCTGACAGCGCCAAAAATTGGAAAAACACAATTGTTTTTGCACGAAATCAATTTGAAAACACGATTAAGAGGCATCACTGTCGCCAGAATGAAAGGGGGACAACTCATATCGAATTATACTTATTATAAAACACAGGTTGTTTTGTGTGTGTGTGTGTGTTCGTTTATATATGGGATCGGATTTCCTACATTTTTCAACCGATTTCAACAAAACATCACTTTTTTTTTGGCAGGTAGTGTTTCTTATTGTCTTGCACACTTTTTTCTTTATTTTTTTAGATTCAGAATGCTTTAAAAATTCCATTTATAAGACAATGGTTTATAATAAAATTCTATTTAATCGGTAGACTCATAACGATTGAAAACAATGATTTTGTTTGAGTTTGGGTTTGACCAATTCGTTAAAAAACAAAACAAAACAAAAAGACAAAAAAAAAAAACTAATTAAGACATACGTGTCCGTCAAACTTAAACAATAATCTTTGTCAATTTTATGGTAAGCAGGAAGGGTTATGGAATAAATCTTGTGAGAAAAATGGAAGATTTTGATTCTCAGAATGGACCAAGAAACAGATGTCTGACAGAGAGAACGACATAGGTCATAGGGCAAAATCTGCTGATGACAGCTAAAAACACGATCTGTGAAGGTAAACGGAAAAATCGAATGGGATTTAAAATATTAATTCGAAGATGAGAATTCTCTTGCAGTGTAACCCCTGATAACCCCAGAAGTCGTAGACAGCCGGCTGGGACTGTGTGTCATTTTTGGACACGTGGAATGTCGTTCGAAATATTTTTTTTAAAAATTAGTCTTTCTTTTGTCTTCGCCTCGAGATAATCGACAACCCTTAATTGGAGAGTAGCCGAAGTGGTGGGCGTAGATGAGACACCAAGGAAAGTGGAGGAGTTATTCACGCCCACAGGGGCACTAGTGGGAGATGGTAATAAGAGAAAGTAGAAGTAAGAAAGAAGGGAATTCCCCAAAATTATAAAGTAATTTAATTCTCAGGACTTAAAATACAGGGGAGAGGAAATACTGAATTCTCCAACCGCGCTCTGCCCCACATCGGTTTGGGCGTACATCAATAAATACAAATGCTTCAAGTCGAGAAAAGAGTTTGTCTAGACAGTACGTTCAAGAAACGAATGAAGATCTCTCTGAAGGATCCGTTATTGCCTGCCGACGACGAGAACCTCCGACACCAGCCTTGTGGCAAACTACACGAAGACATAAAAACAAACTTTGCCAAAATCATCAAAGTGTCACTTCCGACTAGAAGCGGGTTGGGCCGAGAATTGTTGCATGAGAACTTTTAAACTATGAACCAACTGCTGTAGAAAGAACCAATATAGATATAATAAGCCCCGATGAGGATTCGGTCTTAACCACCTTATGATCTAAAAGCACAACGTGGGATAAGGTGAGACCTGGATTGAAGCGGTCGCTTCAGCAACCAGCCGCGGGTGTTGCGCGTCATGACCACTAAAGAGGCGAGAGGGCGATATAAGGAGAGTGTTCTGATTTACATTTTGATACTGCAATCTTAACCTCTTCAAGCAATAGTCAATATTTACCTATACTCCTTATCCTCATAAATTTTATTTCCTGCGATCTGCTTTTTTTTTCATATCGCACGCATTATTCACCATAAAATTATAATAGCGTTCGTCTATTTTAACGAGTTAGATATTAGGTAAACAGTAGTATAAGCTAAGTATTAGGTAAGCATTAGTATAAGAAAAAGATATTTCAGTGATTTACTGTTTCAAATAACCAAAAAAAAACAATTCGGAGGTACTTATTTTTTTTTAGAAAAATTACAAAAATACAAAGATGATTAATATCTGTAATACCAGGTGCTACTTTCACGTAGTTGAATCGCTCTTGTTTCCCCCGTACTCAGAGTATAAGGAGAGTGTTCAACTCGGATAGCTTTTTCCCAAGAACTGATACGTTTTGATTCTCATCTATTCTTGAGAGTTGAACGTTCGAAGAAAAATCTGAAACCGCATACCCCCGATTAAACCGACATTAGCTTGACGATTCCACAAGTGAATAAACAATTACTGTAATTCCCTATGTATAATACACCTTCATCCATAATAAGCACCCCTAAAATTATGCTGAAAGTGTGGGAAAATGCTTCTACTCATGCATAATATGTACTCCTTGTTTAGCAATCAAACCCTATAAATTGTACCCCACGAATTTCATTACGACCAGCATTTCTTACTCTTATTTAAAAAAAAGAAGTTTTTAAACATAGAATATTATTATTCTAATTTAGTTTTATGATAATTCTTATTTTATTTAACTGCAATTTTTTAAAGATTTTTATAGTTGTGCATAATACGCACCCCTGATTTTGCTTATTATTTTTTTAGAAAAAAATGCGTGTTATACATGGGGAATTACTGTACTTAGAAAAAAATTGGCTCTTATTCTTATGAGACGTTACTAACATGAAATTACACCTGGGTTTTAACCCTGATGGTACTAGTAGCACATACCAATAAATAAATGCCTTTTAGTCACCATCCGGCTACAAACATATTATTGTGCCTCATCGTTGTCAGAGCTATTTCTGTAAATCAATGTGATTTTTCATCTTCAACATGGCTGCTCCTTTCCAAATATGCCCATCTGCTTAAAGCCGTTTAAGTTTCTTTTAAATCCACAGAGCCAACCTGTGATTTATATTGGAACAATATTTAGTATTGAGTGCACCTTAGAAACGGTTCATAAGGGACACATGCGTTTTTTTTTTAAATTCAGGGTTGCCCTTCTCGTATATTGCTTGTGGACCACGTCTTGACTGTGAGTCACACACGTCATTCACCCTAACAAACAGTGACCATCCATCTTAAGTGTCTCTCGAGATAGGTAATAGATAAACATTAGAATAAGAAAAGACATTTCAGTGATTTATTGTTCCATATTACGCGACAAATACAATACGGAGTTTTTTTTTGTTTTGTTTTTTTTTTTAGAAAAATTACAAATATACAATGTGATATGCGTGTGGGAAAATATTTTACCTCTGAGAACGAAAAAATATATCTATTTCATAAATTGATTTTATTTTTGTACAACTTTGAAAAACGTCCAAAAATGTTTCATATACATAATAAGGTACATGACAAATTATTATTATTGTTGTTGTTGTTGTTTTATTTCATTTGATTTCCGGTGTGTACACATTTCTTTCCGGGTCCGGCCAAGAGACCTAAGGTCAGAAATGGCGTGGCGCCATGACATCGTTAGATCCGACGTGGTTGATACCGTCTCGGCTACGAAGTGCGTCGACAATCAAGCAGAATTGAATAGTGCCTCATAAATGCAAATCTTTCTCGGTCTCCCAAAACATTCATATCTGCTCAGTTTCGTATCCTAACGTAAACAAAGCAATTTCTAAAAAAGTGATGGATTTTGCATTTATTAATCCGACAGATTTTATGACTTAAACCTTATTTTTAGTGGATACCCATATGTGAGTAGACGATTGGATTATTTGTTAAACAGTATATTTATTTATTTTCCTCTGTCGGCCTTAATATTCAAAAAATCTCATTAAAGTATAATATGTGCTTTTCGGCAGGATTCGAACCTGCGTCCTCCTTGGCGCTGGAGAAACCATTATGAGATTCAACCTGATTCGACCGGCTCGGCTACAAAGTGCGTCGACGATCAAAGCAAAGTTGAGTAGTCCCATATAAACGCAAATCTTTATATATATATATATATATATATATATATATATATATATATATATATATATATATATATATATATATATATGTGTGTGTGTGTGTGTGTGTGTGTGTGTGTGTGTGTGTGTGTGTGTACGTGCACAATGCGTAAATTGTCGCCATTTTATATTTTAATTTCACGCATGCACCTCGTTTGTTTTTTATTTTATCGACTGCTCAGTATATTAGGGTACTGTCTGTAAGAAAAATGAGCATCATGACGCAATTCACCACACCAGAAATTTGTTGTACTGCTTGGCATTCGCGCCGGAAGATCCAATACGAACATTTCAGAGTGTTTGGACGTCAGTCTGTGGACAGTGTAGAGGATTCAGAAAGAGTTGGATGAGTCTAATGGTGATTACTAAGATACGGCATCTCTGAAAACTCTGATTGTTCTGATAAGAAAAGAACTCCCAGACTCAACATGGAGGTCTACATCAAGTTCCTTGAGGGGGTAGTGCTGCCCTGGGTCAAGAGGGTGGCTGCTGGAAGACCCTATGTCTAGCAAATTGATTCTGCACCATGCCACACAAGCAGGAGAACCCAGTCGTGGCTATCAAACAATATCTACAGCCACATGAAATCTGGCCACCTAGCTCCTCAGACTGCACCCACTTGATTATAATGTGTGGGGTGCAGTTAAGCGAGACCAGACTTATAACACCAAAGATGAAGGCCAGGGTTATGGAAACATTCACCAACTTACACAAGGAGAGCATCAAGAACAGTTGCAGATTCTGAAGTTGTCTGGAGGTTGTCGTTGAAATCAATGACAATTTTATTCTATACATTTATTCTTTACTATTTCAAGATAATTTTGTGCGATTTTGGTAAATATATTTGTTAAAATGAGATGTCAGTGTTATTTTCATTTTTGCGTAATTTAGACGACAAGTTATCCATCACATTCTCTGTGTTTGTGTGTGTACGTGTGTGCATAGTTTTATAGTATGTGTCAATATCAGGAATAGGGCGAATGTAAATATAAAAATGGACATTGATGCCAACATCCAACATTTGATGATGTCCACTGTATATATATATATATATATATATATATATATATATATATATATATATATATATACAGACAGACAGATAGATAGATAGATAGATAGATAGATAGATAGATAGATAGCCAGATAGCTACTTAGATATGAGCATAATGAGATGCATATGAACAAATTGGCATAGATAGTGATAGATAGATGGATAGATAGATACGAACAGACAGTGATAGATAGATAGATAGATAGATAGATAGGAACAAACTGTGATAGATATGAATAAACTGTGATAGATAGATAGATAGATAGATGGATAGATAGATAGATAGGAACAAACTGTGATAGATACGAACAAACGATAGATAGATAGATAGATAGATAGATAGATAGATAGATAGATAGATATGAACAGACAGGTTGATACTGATTAATGTGCTACACATCCATAAATTGAAAATCATAGATACAAACATTCACATTCACCAGTGATGTACATATGCGTAGATAAATCTTACCAGTATTTCCTCGAAAATTAACTAAACACTTGATGTTGCTTTAAAAGCGAATAATTGATCACATCATTAAATCGACAAAAATGCTTCCGTTGTTATTTATTCGAAATAATAACATCGGCCTTCGATCAAGCATCTTAACTACAAATTATCAAATATTTTTTCTTACTTTATATTTTGCTCGACATTCTTCACATCCAATCATGATTTTTGAGAGCGTAATCCGAGATTAACGTAGAGTTATTTCTCTAAAAGTTGTTGCGCTATTTAAAAGTTTTGATATCTACTTCAAATTTTCTGTTTTCCCTTGAGTAGAGGATTTTTCCTTCATTCTTTTTTTTTTCTTTCTCTGCTGATTCACCGAAATTTTTATCTTGATAAATATTGTGTTGTAGCATATCTACGGACGATAATGGGTATGTCCACATTCACATAAATACAGTAGTAAATACTGTATATTGGTCTGCAATTGGAGATTCGTCTCCAGCTGTACTGGTCAAACTTTCTGCTTCCGGACAGAAAGAATCCCCAGGGTATGTCGAAGGGCAGAGTCTCATCTCGGGAAAGAGCTACCCGACCCCGTTTTAAGGCTCGATTACTCCACATTAAATTCGGCCTTGTTCCACATCTGACCGCGTGGAGCGGTTGGTAGATATCCTACAGTTGGAGATTCATTGTGGAATTCCCTTGACTCACTTCTATCAGTTGACTACTTCTACGCGCCGCTGGCGAATCTTATATGTGTTGTTTGTGTCCTAAGTATTATCGTTCATTACCAACTTTCGTGTGATTATTCTATTCAGTAATCTTCCCTAGGTTACAGCATATTGCCAAATTGCAACTTCAAAAATTATACTGAGTTCCAAAGTAAAAAGCAACATTGCTATCCTCCAGCTTAAATTTTTATTTCGCACTTTTTTGACTTTGTTTTTGCTTTTCTTTAATTTAGTTGCTAGACAATATCACGTGACTTAATGTTTCTTACGTCATTGCTTATTCACTTCTGGAAACCGTCAAATTAAAGTCGGTCGAATCGAGGGTACTTGGTTTCAGGTTTTTCGTTGAACGGTCGAACTTCTTCGTATGAGGGTGTTAGGGATTTTCCTTGTCTCCTAGTAGGTCGGGCGTTTATATAACTTCCTCTTATCCAGTTGAATTTTTCGTGTATATTTTATGTTTTTTCTGGGTTCAAATTATTGATTGCACCCCTCGAGGCCCGATTATGCACTTAGTAGCTTTGTGGAAACCTTCTTGGGGTTCCTAGGTCTTTTGATTTTCTGAGGTGACACCGAGTACAAAAACTTAATTTGGTATCTCTTACAGTGAACCTAATGTATACTGTGATATTTCCTTCCTTTTATAGGATGTGACCATTTTTCTGTTGCTTTAAGAGTACATATGAATGTCGTTTATTATAAGCCGGCTTGTCCGACGTGCGTTCAATTGCTTTTTTTCTTTAGTCTACACACACGCGTAACACAAACCGATCGAATCATTTATCTCGTTGGCTTCTGGTATTTGCAATATAGATCTTCCATGTAGGACAATAATGTTTGTATAATACTAAGAAGGAGCTTTACGATATGGTTGATACCCAGTTGCCAGACGAGTATTGTGAATATGGGTCAAATAGCTGAACAGATTGCGTTCACTAACCCTTGGTGACAGTCAGTCTAGAAGACAAACTTTGAATTTAAATAGATGCCGTGAGGGGGTTTCCTTGTACTGAAGCTGCTCAAGACCCCATCTTACCCATCATCAACATCCCTCTGAATTGATAACGATAATTAAATGAATACATTTAATGAGGTATTACTGCTATTTTCCAACTTTATATTATTTACTGTCGAAATTTATTAATAATGGGTGTTCTAATAACTTGGACCGATTTTAAGTGTGAATTAAGTTTAAGCGTCTAATGGTTCTTTTTTCTTTTTCTTTCAGATTTAATAAACTTAAGTCTTTGGCAATTTCAACCATGGAAAGATTAACAATCAAACAACGTATTAGAGTTATCGAACGTTCAAACAGAAATGCAATGAGAAGTTCCCAGCTTGCATCATCTCTCAAAACAGCCAAGTTTATTGGTCACCACGATCGTGCGACTTGACGCCCTTAGATTTCTTCCTTTGGGGGGTCATCTCAAAAGTAAGGTCCATGCCAACAAGTCAACAACAATTCAACAGCCGAAGGATGAGATAATAAGGCGAGATCGAGGAGCAACTATACAGAGACGTCATCAAAAATTTTGACCATCGAGTGGAGGTGTGCTGCCGAAGCCTTGGCGGACATTTGCGCGGTATTATTTTTTACACATAATTGCCATGACTTAAATACCATGATCTAATAGAGAAATAAATAAATTTTAAAATAATAACACTGATTTATTTACTGCTGACTTTGATCCGTCTTAATGAAACACCCTTTATTAGTTGAGTCTGATTGATGATTAAAAATGTGAGATTCTCACTGAGGCACGAACCTATTACAGTGTGGGTGGTATAATGGATATTTCGGCATGAAAAATAAGCGAAACGCGTTCATTCATTTATGCACAAGTAACCTTAGGAAAGGTATGAATCCATCTCCTCTCCATCTATGGAATATAGATAGTGTACCTGGAAAATTCTGATGCTCAAAAAAATTACTAGTGCAATATTTACTTGACAAAACAGACTTATCCTTTTTATTAAGAAACTTTTACAGTGCTAATCGTCTGCGAGAACGGATTGTACAGCTGGCCACTCGCATTCGTGGATACCTGTCTACTAGGGCGGCTAGCCAATCCCTATTGCAGACGCTTGCTTGGGCGTATTTTGTGTTTATTCAACACCCACAGAGTCCACCTGTGGTTTATACTGCAACTATGCTGAGCAGACCTTAGTTATAGTTTCTAGGAAATAGCGTACTATCTAGCGTGATCAACTTGACCAAGGCCAGCACGCCGAAACCCTCGGCCACGATGACTTGTGACTTCGTACTAACACAGCTATCGATGGTACTCAAGGCTTTCACTCACAAGGCTTGGGTTAATCCGTGGTATAGTTTTCAAGCACTTTCCAAAAGTGCCACACCATGGGATAGACCCCCCCCTTCCTGACAAACCGACCATGGTGAGATTCGAACCCGGATATCGTGGTCAGAATGCGAACGTTCTAACCACTCGGCCACGGATTACAAACCAGAATTTCACGGGATGTGCGAATGGTATTATTTTTATGAATGGTATGATGCATATGAAAAATAAATGAGCCGTTTTTGAATTCCAGTCAGCTTAATTACATTCATTTATGCGCAAATACTCTTGGGAACGGTATGAATTCATCTCCTCCACCAACTATGGGTTAAATAGTAGGATTTGTATCTGGAAAACTTACTGATATTCTAAAGAATTGATAGCGTAATAATAAGTCGCAAAAAAGAATTATTCTTACGATTCACAATATATTTCAGTTTTAAAGAACCCATAAAAGTTGATAAACCGTAAAAAAACAAAAAACAAATCAATCAATCAAAACAAATTCACAAATTGCTCAGTAGCGATATCAGTTGTCAGCTGATATCTTGTTAAGGAGACATCTGCAGAATGTCGCAGAAACCGTTTTGACATTAATCATCCTAACAAAAAGCTCAGCTGAGTGAAATGGACCTCACTGATAGATAGATAGATAACGTATTGTGATAGATAGATAGATAGATAGATAGATAGATAGATAGATAGATAGATAACGTATTGTGATAGATAGATAGATAGATAGATTGATAGATAGATAGATAGATAGACATACAACGTATTGCGATAGATAGATAGATAGAAGTGCGGATATAAACCAAATAATCATATATTAGCTACTGTATATGTATGCGTTAGCTTCATGCACAGATAAGTGAATAAATATTTACTTAATATAAGGTGTAAATAAAACAGTGCTCAATTTAGTTAGATAGAGCTAAGAAGTATATATTAATAAGTATACACGTACCTACGTTTGTAGTGCAACTTGAAGTTTCATTGTTTTTCTAAGTCATCAGGCACGAACTGAGAAAGCCCAAAGAAAAAAAAACCTTTTTGTTTGTCCTTTTCTTTTTCGTTTTCTTCTACTACCCTGTTCAGATGTTCCTGTTAGTTCCCTTTCTGAGTCGGCTATAAAACACAGTGTCATCTGCGTATCTTGTATTGTTGAGATTACGCCCACCAATAACAAATCCTGGCAGCGTCTCTAGTTACCTTAAGGCTCTCTAGGTTTAACTATATATATATATATATATATATATATATATATATATATATATATATATTTTTATTTCAGTCCTTCATGAGCTTCCGATCCTTAGCTATGATTAATTAATGATGAACATGTCATTTTCATTTATGATTGATTTCATCACAATTCTGCTGTTAAGCTTGGAGAGTAATTATACATTCTTATTACACAAAGTAGAGTCCAATAGTGTTATAAAAACCTCAGAGAATTCTAGTAAGATATCTTTCATCATTTCTAAGATACAACGTTTCAAATCTTAATCTAACAAATGGACAATTTTGGTTTACACTCAGAATATATATATATATATATATATATATATATATATATATATATTTATATATATATATATATATATATATATATATATATATATATATATATATATATATATATATATATATTCGTAAAAACAATACGCTAGATTTAGCTGTGTAATTCTACCGAGTGAAGATAGGTCAGTGTTAGAAGGTGTTGGGTTTCGATCTTCACTTGAGGCATTCGGGATGTCTAGTAAAACCGAGGAGCTATTATACAGCGAAACAGTACTGTCTGCGAATGATATATATATATATATATATATATATATATATATATATATATATATATTGAAAATAAAAGTCTGAAGATCCAGAGAAAAATAAAATTCTCTGGTGAAATAAATTATTACAAATGGAGCCTTAAAGTGATCTGTTTTTCTTTAAATTAAATAATATATATATATATATATATATATATATATATATATATATATATATATAAAGCATTTCACCCCAAGCAAGGCGGGAGTGCCACTAGTACTCAAGGGGCTCGAAGAGTGGAATTGAGGAAAGGACAAAAAGAAGAACAGTGATGAAGGCATCAGAAGATGTCGATTGACATTACATTTGAATTCTTGAAGATTATAGTTATCAGGGAAGCAAGTAAGAGGAAAGGAGTTCCACCTATCACATTGCAGACCTGTCTTCGAATTTCGTCGAGAACCACGACATAAAAAGACCTTTCACCAGACCATATATGGCAACATGTCACTGCTTAGATTTCACTTGAGTGCCCGCTTTTATATTGACATATGATCTATCGTTGATATCGAGTACTTTCATCAATAAATATACCACACCTTACACCTTAAATCTATATTTTTTTAATCATATATTTATCTATATTTAGACACCAAAATTTCAATCAAACCAATTTTATTAAATCCATCTAAGGTTCTGTCTGATTCATTTTTTTATTAATTTTTTCCAGTTTTTTAAAACTTCATGGTTTTGTTTGAATACTTTCGATTGTCTTAATCTTGTCTATATCTTAGAGAAATTAAAATTCCAGCATGTAAGCAGCAAAAGCCATTTTTTGTTATACAGACCAAGAGTGTTGTAATTATTTTAACGTAAACTCAGACACTCCGAAATGAAATCAGCAATGATAACATTTCTATTTGTTAAATATTTGAATTCAGGAACACTTTTCTCGGCAATCTTTGGTCTGTTAAAACGATTCCAAGATATTTCAATCTGTGCACCTTCTTGATGTTGCCATCTCCAGTTTGTAACTCGCGTCTTGGTCTTTTTCGCTTGGAGATGTCCATACTTTCTGTATTCTTGCAGTTGATGGTTTGTCTTATTCTTTTTTGTTTTCTTCTACTACCCTGTTCAGATGTTCCTGTTAGTTTCCTTTCCGAGTCGGCTAAAAAACACAGTGTCATCTGCGTATCGTATATTGTTGAGATAACCCCCACCAATAACAAATCCTGGCAGCGTCTCTAGTTACCTTAAGGTAACAATAATTTTGGAAAGTGAAAATTTCACCGAAATATATTGGACAATTTCCAAGTTTTTATTTGAAATCAAGAAAACATAAACTTTAGACAAAACAATTAGAATATATATAGAAAAAAAAAGAAAAAGAAGGAAAGCGTCATTTAAAAGTGATGTCAGGAAGTTGTGAGCTTATAAGAATTTTTTTTTGTAGAGGTTGAATATGGAAAACGTGAAAAAAACAAGACATCAAATTAACTCCCTGGCGTCATTTTAAACTGATGCCTCATTTTTTCCATATAGATAAACTATAATTATGAAGTATAATTTTGAAAAGTGAAAATTTGACTGAAATATGTTGGAAAATTTCCAGACGTTCATCTGAAATCAAGAAAATATGAACTAAGCAAAAACGGACACAATATATATATATATATATATATATATATATATATATATATATATAGTTAAACCTAGAGAGCCAGACAAACCTACCAAGGTTTCACCTAAGCGGATCGTCAGGGAATGACAGCATGGTCTAACTAGACCTGCTCTACTCATTGTATTGAGCACTTTATTTAGTTGTTTTGCGTACTCTCATCGGGCTATTTTTTCTTTGGGCCTTGAATTCGTATGCTTGACGATTATTGTCGGTTAACGTACATGTTCTTGGTTCTTTCTTTATTTTTTCTATACCTTTTTTCCCTTTGGTATTGGCTTGTTTATTTGCAAATCAATAGAACGAAGGTTTTTCCGAGCGAGTATAGTTTCTTATACTTATAAGATTTCCATTAATAATATATATATATATATATATATATATATATATATATATATATAAAATAATTCAAACTGAGAAGATTATGGGACAAAAGACAAGTATTATGGTTACTTCTTGGCTGCCTGAGGCACCCATAAAAAGAATTATTGAGAAAACTGGTTAGTTTCTGTTACCACTTATTCATTGTGACCTTGTGTCAAACTTGCCATTTCGGAGGGATTCGGTAAATAAAATCGCTCCAAAGAAGACGCACAGACACTACTAAACTTAGTCTGACACAAGGCCGCAAGAGTGAGGTAAGCTATAAATGTTGAACTAGCCTGACATGTATCTTGCAAATGAGGATGTCCAGATTACATAGTTATTTATTAATTCAAGCACACGGCCATAAAAGGGGAATATGTTGGGGTAAAATCGAGTGCGCTCCACTAGTAATAGTCATACAAGACGCTCTAGTAATCTTATAAAATGCACTGACACTATATAAGTAGTTACCATGATTAGCTTAGTCTGACACAAGGCTACAAGTGTGGGGAGCACTATTGGGATCGAAATTACTATACGAAGATTCGTGAAGGTAAGGGACTCGTATGATGCACATTTAAATATCTATGGTCATTAAATACTTGGAAGCTTGGAACCCGTAAACAAATATAAATTTTAAATGTGCAAGGTATGTCTTCAACGTTTAGAGGTATTTTCCATAGTCCTACTGTTTTATTGTCTCTTACGTAGCAGTGTATCAGAAAAATAGATTCCTATTTGCATCGATAGAGGTTAACCACGAAAGTCACCTTGGGAGCGACTTTAAGAGCGGGACAAGAGGAACAAACTTTGTTACTATAGTTGCAATTTGCGTTTCGTAAATTCTTGAAAATGACAGCAAGGAATAAGATTTCGAAAAGTGAGGGGGGAAAAAAATTAATTATTCCATTTACCTTACAGGGAATGAAGTCAAGCATAAAATGAAATTCAACCAGAAACGAGCCAGACTCCGAACTCCGTTCAATCTGACATCGTCCTGTCGCCTTCTTGAAGAGGTTCTTAGAAAGAGGAAATCACTTAGCGGCATGATTTTATCTCCAAGAGAAACGCGGGACGGGGAAACGTCAGCTCAGCCTAGTAAGTGGATCCGCGCTCAACTCGCTAATACGCCTATATTCGATTACTTGATCTTTGCTTTATTGTTTGCTGATCTGGCGTATAAAGCCCGGATCGGTGGGAGGTGCTGGACGAGGACGTGGTTTAAACGAAAAACTTTACGTATAAACGTTGATCACTGTTGGTTGCAGTTGGGAAGTAGCGACTCGGCTATGCAAAATGGACTTATTAAAGGACGCAGAGATTTTCGCAGTGGGTTATTTTTCAAATTCGAATCCAGGAGTTTGTATAATTAGTTCGATTTGTTTTGATAGAGAAGCAGAGAAAAGAAAAAGAAAAGGAAAGAAAAGAAAAGAAACAAAAGACTAATGCGCTTTAATTAGGGTTTTAATAAGCAACTTTGAACTTGTTTTCCTATGTTACTTTGTCTTTTCTTTATTCTCCAGAATAGAAGTTCAAATCAATATTTTCCGACTTATCGATCGTTAACTTTGTTAGAAACTTAACCAATGCGGAACTAACTTATCCAATATATTGATAATCTGTACCTGTGACTGGATATGAGAGATACCATGATTGTAATAGTGCAATAGATATACCTAACTTTTAATGCTTAGTCCTTCCAGGTAGAGACTGATGACCATTATATCTGTTGCGTTTAATACGATGCTAAATAGATATCATCATGGCCATCATTATAATCATCATCAGCCGCCATTGTCTGTCCACAGCGAAATAAAGGCCTTGCACAAATCATTTCATGACGACCATTTGGAGCAATGGATAGCGACTCGGATTGAGGAATCGGAGAGCCGAGTTCGAATTCCAGTCGAATCTTTCTAATTCACTTACGTGCTAATACTCTTCCTCTCCCCCCCCCCAACAATGGGTAAATATCAGAACAGACCGAGTTCTATAGCCTTGGATAGCAGCCGGTCTACCGCAGAAAGAAATGGTAAGCTACTGCGGGAAAAAATCTGCCACGGTAGTAATGTATTGAAAGATACATTATTGCCTAAGCTTGTATCACGCATGGCACATAACTGACTGACTGATGGGAACTTTCAGCACATCGTCCAACATATTGCCCGGTTTTATCTTCGTATTGTTTGTTTTTATCTCTACATTTCGGCCGACGCTTTCTTTGGTCATTTTGTGGTCTTAAATCATCGATGAGTAATTATTATTATTATTATTATTATTATTATTATTATTATTATTCCATGACTTCTTTACACTAATATTCTCATCTTTATTGGATTTATCACAAAGTTTCCGCCGATACAATCATGGCCTGTCGTAGTGTTGATACACTGTCTACATTATCTGCAGCGGAGCAAAAGCCCTAAAAAAAGAGCATATCAATGCTTGCAGACTCAAATATAAACGACTGGTCTTTACCTATCCGGGAATTATCGCGTCTTCCTTCCAGTTTCGCTCATTAGCAGTTTTCTAGCATTGGTTGGCAGCCAGTCTTGATGCAAAAGTGGTTCTTTATCTATGTTTTCTTCTATTTCCCCAGCAATCTCTCTCTCTTGTATACACACATTCTCTCTCTCTCTCCCTCTCTCTCTCTCTTTCAACTCATACACATACTCACACACACACACTATTTTTCTTTTAGCTTTATAACTAAAGAAAAATGTTAAACTTAAAAGAAAATTAATTCTTCATCTTGCTCTTTTTGCTCGGTAGGTGAAGAGCTGAAATAGCTCCAGGAATACATCTAATTGAAAGAGGTGATTTCATTGGGAAAGCACTATAAAAACGAACAAGAGTATTAGCACGTAAGTGAATCGAATGGATTCAACTGGAATCCGATACCATTCTCAAACAAGAAAAAAAAAAAGAAGGAAGATTTTGCCGAGAACTATTTTGCAGTCGCAAGTATTTCAGATATTGAAAAAAATACCTAAAGAATACATCGGGTTAAAGTTAGTCATGAAACCAAGAAGAAATTTAGTCAGAATATCGGTGGAATTATAATAATTTAACCGCAAGTTCTATTCTAATAGTTTCTTCTCCTCTGTGGAACTTTCTCTCAGCTTCAAGTACGACATTCAAAAATTTGAATACAATGTCAATCGTCATTTTCTGCTTCTTTGAATATTGTTCTTTCTTTTCAGCAACTTTTTTCTATTTCTTTCACGCTTTCAAATATTACCAATAATAAATTCTTGAAAAAACCAAAAAAAACAAAAAAAAAAAAAACAAATATTACCATCAATACACTTTTGGAAAAACAAAATAAAATGCCAAATACTACCAGCGATATATTAAAAAAATTAGCAGAAATAAATTTTTGGAAAAAAACAAATATTACCCGTAATACATTTTGGAAAATAAACAAATATTACCCGTAATACATTTTTGGAAAAAACAAACAAATATTACCCGTAATACATTTTTTAGAAAAAAACAAATTACCCGTAATACATTTTTAGAAAAAAATTACCCGTAATACATTTAAAAAAAAAAACAAATATTACCCGTAATACATTTTTGGAAACAAAAATAAAAATAAAATAAACAAACAGTACCATCAAAACAATTTAGAAAATAATAAATAGATAAATATTACCAGCAATATATTTTGGGGGAAAAATGCAAAGCAAATATTACTCGCAGTACATTTTTGGAAAAAACAAATATTACCCGTAATACATTTAAACGAAAAACAAAAACAAATAATACCAGCAATACATTAAAAAAATAAAAATAAAAATGCAAATATTACCTGCAAAATATTTTTGGAAAAAAATTATTAAGCAGCAATACATTTTTATGAAAAAAAAAAAATAAATAAATAAATATTACGAGCAATACATTTTTGCAATACACTTTTGGAAAGAAAACAAAACAAATATTACCAGTAATAAAAATCTTAAAAATCTTAAATAACCCATTGAGGCTGACATGCCGTAAAACAAAACCAACCAAACCAAACCAAACCTCTCACTATCTGTAACCTCTTGCGTCTTAGTGAGTTTATCACCTTGCTTGCTGTAAAATGATTAAAAATACATAAATTCATAATGTAGTTCTGCTTTTTACGGCGATTATTTTCATTTTTATTATTCCGACTATAGTTAATTCATGTCTTTTGTTCCGGAACTGTACGATCCAAGACAAAATTATATTACGATTATTGCATATTCAATACGTGTTTTATCTGTGCTTGAACATCCCTCGCTTGCACTAGTGTCAACACGTATCTATCTTAACCAAGCTCGATTAGTTACTTCTGGGTATAAAAATAAGCATCGACATAGCAATGCCTGAATAAATTATTTCTTAGGTATGTAAAATGAACGCCTTTACTTTGACGTGAAAAGAAACGAGTAAAATAAATCGCGGCTTTAAAAATATGAAAAAAATAAAATAAAAAAGAAACATATTTAAGATTTAATAACAGTGAGTTACGAGAGAAAACTAAATATGGCGAACCTGTTTGTCAAATCCAAAAGTCATTCATATTTACGGTCCAATGAAAAAATCGCTTGTTCGAGAAAGTTTTAAAACTACACAACAGAGATAGACATGAAAACGGAAATAGATTGAAAGTTTCGGCAGGAAATGGAAGCTTTTGAAAGATCAAGAGAAGACGGGGAAGAAGAAAGAAAGGAAGAAAGAGAAAGAAAAGAAGAAAGAGAAAAAGAAAGGAAGAAAGAGAAGAAGAAAAAGGAAGAAAGAGAAGAAGAAAAAGGAAGAAAGAGAAAAAGAAAAGAAGAAAGAGAAAAAGAAAAAGGAAGAAAGAGAAGAAAGAAAGGAAGGAAGAGAAAAAGAAAAAGGAAGAAAGAGAAGAAAGAAAGGAAGGAAGAGAAAAAGAAAGGAAGAAAGACAAGAAGAAAAAGGGAGGACAGAGAAAAAGAAAGAAAGGAAGAAAGAGAAAAAGAAAGAAAGAGAAAAAGAAAGGAAGAAAGGGAAGAAGAAAAAAGGGAAAAAGAAAGAAAGGGAGGAAAAGAAAGAAAGAGAAAAAGAAAGGAAGAAAGAGAGGAAGAATATTGATCGATTGGTCTGCTTTTTTCCTATGTAAGAATAGAATTTTAGAGTGTGGGCAACGTCTTTTTTAACTTTTTAAATGTTTACTTATCTCTTTTTCCCTGTATTTATTTCCTATTAAAAGTCAAATTATTCCATTATATAATAGAACGAATCCCAAAGTTGTCGGTACAGCTTCCTTCGGGGTGAGGTAAAGATTCAGTGATTTTTTTTTACGGTTTATCAACCTTTCGCAGGTTATTTAAGGCCGGAAATTATTGCTCCGTGGAGCTGCATTCGCTGGTTCCCAAACTTCATGAGTTAAAGCGCCCTACGAGGCTGGCATCCCGCTCTCACCCTTTCACTGTCGAAACTCCTAAATGTAGCCGTCTCTTCTACTCCAATAGCTTCATTTCTCGCACCTCTCGCCTGTGGAACTCCCTTCCCTATTCCTGTTTTCCTGAGAGCTATAATCTCCAACTATTCAAATGTAATGTCAATCGACATCTCCAGTTACCTTGATCTATCCACTACCCTCCTCATCCTTTCTTCTATCACTCCTATCTGATCTTGCTCCAAATTTTCTGTAACCCCTTGCGTCCTAGTGGCTTCCCGCCTTGCTTGGGGTGATACGCTTAAAAAAAAGAAAAAAGAAAAAAAAGATTTTTTGAAGATAATAATGACTTACTGATACAAGTCTTACTAATTAACCCATAGCCGGTGGAGAAGAGGTGCATTCATACCTTTCGCAAGGGTATTTGCGCATTTAAATGAATGAAACGAACCCGAAATTATCACATTATATTATGTTATGCGTGTCAAAATAGGCGGTGGCGTACCCTTGGGCGGTGGTGGGGGTTTAATGATTAATTTGTTTTTATGGATTATCAAAGTTTTGCAAGTTATTTAAAGCCAGCAATTTCTTTTTAGCCTGAAATAATTTTTTGATTTATTTACTGATAAAAATCCTGCTAATTAACCCATAGCTGGGGGAGAAGACGTGGATTTCATACCTCTCCTTAGGACATTTGCATGTAAGTGAATAAAACCTGACTGGAATTGGAACTCGACTCTCCAATTCCCAGCCGTTACCCATTACAAAAAAAAAAAAGAAAGAATAAAAGAAAAAGATAGATGAAAAAGTAAAAAGTGAAAAGAAAAGAAAGGAAAATGGAAAAAAAGTGAAAAGAAAAGAAAAATAATAAATAAAGGAAAAGGTACGAAGAAAAAGAAAGAAAGAATGAAAAAAGAAAGAAAGACAAAAAAGGGAACAGAATAAGAAAGAAAGAAAAAAAGAAAGAGAAAAGAAAATTAAAAAGGAGAGATAAAAGAAAAGAAGGAAAAAGAAAAAAAAGAATGAAAAAAGAATAGAAAAAGAAAAGAAGAAAGAAAGAAAGAATGAAAGAAAAAGAAAAGTAAAGAAAAAAGAAAAAGAAAAGAAAAGAAAAAAGAAAAAGAAAGAAATAGTGAAAGAAAAAGATAGTAGAAAACGTGAAAAGAAAGGAAAAAGGAAAGAAAATGGAAAGGAAAGAAAAATAAAGGAAAAGGACAAGAAAAAAAAGGAAAGAAAAACAAGACAATGTGAAAAGGAAGAAGAAATTAGTAAAGGTGGGAAAAGAAAGAAGGACAAAACAAATAAAACAGACAAAGAAAGAAAGAACAAAAGAAAGAACGAACAAACGAACGAACGAAAGAAAGAAAGAAAGAAAGAAAGAAAGAAAGAAAGAAAGAAAGAAAAACTTAAAAAGGAAATGAAAAGGAAAGAAGAAAAAAAAAGAAAGAATGAACGAAAAAATACCAGGAAAAGTAAAAAGAGAAAAGAAAAGAAAGGAAAAAAGGAAAGGAAAGGGGATGAAAGAAAAATAAATAAAGGAAACGGTCGAGACGAGAAAGAAAGAAAGAAAGAAAGAAAGAAAGAAAGAAAGAGAAAACAGAAAAGAGAAAATACACATAATCATCTTGAAAAGAAACTTTTCATACATCAACCTCATAGCCTGGATTTTTTTTTCGTGCACCAAAATTTGATATTTACCCTCTTGAACTTTAAGAATTAACTTTTTATCTATCTTTTGAACTTTTTTCATATCCAGTACATCACAAGTTGAATAATAGTAATAAAAAAAAAAACATCCCCATTCATCTTGGTATCTTTTGATATTCACATAAATGTCAATATTTATAGGTTATCTCATGTAAGAATAGAATATCAGAGTGTGGGCAACTTTTTAAAAGTTTACTTATCTCTTTTTCGTGTATTTATTTCATATAAAAAAAATCAAATTGTCCCATAATAGAATGAATCCCAAAGGGGGTGATGTAAAGATTGAATGATTTGTTTTTTACAGTTTATCAACCATTTGCAGGTTATTAAAAATTATTTTTTAAGATTGTAAGAATTTCTGAAAATAATTCTCTGATACAAGTTCTACTAATTAACCCATATTTTGGGGAAAAGCGGTGGATTCACAACCTTTTTCAAGGGTATTTTTGAGTAAGAGAATAATATAAAAACTGGCATTCGGCTTTCCAATTTCTAAATCCGAGCCGTTATGCATTACATAACCCGCACATCCAAACTTACAAAACATACTATTCCCAAGCGGTCACCATCTAGGTACTGACCAGGCTTGACGCTGCTTAACTTCGGTGATCGTACGAGAAGCGGTGTTTCAACGTGATATGACAGTAAGCTCGAAAAGAAGAAGAAGAAGAAGGAGGAGGAGGAGAAGAAGTAGAAGAAAAAGAAGAAGAAGAAGAAGGTCCTTAAAAGTGAGAATTGAGAAAATGCTTCATTAATCGTACGACAACCGGTGTTTCAATGTCATTTGGCCATAAGCCGGGTCATGTAAAGATCCAGGGGGGGGGGTTAGAAATAAAAAGGGGGGTTCGTAGTGGGCCGATTAGAAAAGAGGCGGGAAGAGCCATCAGGTTGGTATTAGAAGCAAGTCATTTTTTACAACATCTATATGTCAAAATCTAAGTCACTTCCATTAAATACTAATGGCAATATTAACCTTTTCCTTATAAGGAAACATTCGGTATTCATTGATGGAAAAAACAGTGCTGCTGTCGGTTGAAATTTATAAAATCTTTCTCTTAAAAACAATTTTTCAGGAAAATAGCTCTCTAAAGTCCAGTGTTATCGTTCTTTCTAGTATTGATAGGGTTTCCTTCCTAAACACCGTCCTGGGTAAGACGATAAACTACATCGGCAGCAAGGTCTCTGATCAGGCGGTATTGAGGAGCGTTGAATCACCTCTTAATTGCTGGTGTTCTCAGTTCTACCCTGACCCGGGAAAGTAGCATCTGTTAGGGTCCTAGTTAGGCAAATAGTTAACCCCCAAACTGTGATCAAAACACTATAAAAGTGTAAAAATAGGTTTTACTACCAGCAATACATTTGACAGCAATAAAAATCTTGTCGGCATTAAATAACCCATTGAGGTTGATACGCCATAAAACAAAACAAACCAAACCATCGTTCCTAAACTTTTATTCGAAAACTTGTGGAACGTCAACATCTTCATAAGGTCTTTATTTTCTCTTCGAGTTACATGTGCTATCCATTTAAGCCACTGTTGCTGCTGAAAGTCCTTGTGTTGTTTCTGTTACTTGGCTCAGTTCTTTGTGATTCTGTAGCGCCTGTCCACAACATTCGAAATATGGTCTTCTCCAAGATCCACAATCTTCACTCACTTGAAGCCATTTCTAACCATTGCATGCTTTACAAAGAATAAAACTAACGCACTGGTTATACACAAACGCAATGTTTTATTTTATTTCGTTGTCCGAAGTTAAAAGTTTGAGTGCTTGTGCCTTGCTGATGTTATCTGAACAGGGCGCGTCACAGGCCAAGAATATCATATAACTGACATCTGCAGGATCTGATGCACGAGTATTTTTAAGTGTTAGGTTAGTTGTTTTGAATTTGCAGCATACCTAATGCCAAAATAAAGTGTCTGCGTATTTACGTGGGAGAGGAGTACTACCGATGTGTCTTTGAAGGTAGAAAATATTTAGGAAGCGCTGATATAGTAAATCATTTGGTTTCCATTAGGTGATGTTTATCGCATTTTTAGGACAATGGAAGTACCCAGAGAGAAGTTGAAGCAGGAAATTGACACTCGTCATCCACTCCGCGGCTATGAACCCATGGTAAAGACACTCAGCCGAAGCACTGCACGACATATCTCCTAGTCAACGTCTGTTCCTGCAACCACCTTAACAACGTGGAATACAGGCCCTCACTCTTTCTCTCAGCCCTACAGAATCTCGTTCCACTAGCTCCAGTGACGCCTAAATCGTTTCCGAACAGATGTTTAGTCGCTGTAGAAGGGCAACCTTCAGAAATAGGCATATGCCACCGATTTTGAACCCAACTACCAATGCGGGCACCCAAAAACTATGGAACATCTAGTTTGCCCCAGTCTTGAAGATCCATGCACACTTAATGACCTTGAAACCATAATACCCCAGGCAAGGCTCTGTGCGCCACACTGGATGGGTGTGGTATAGTAACCCGATAATAATAATAATAATAATAATAATAATAATAATAATAATAATGATAATAACAAACCAGAGAGAGTGTGTTCCATCAATATTAACCAGGTACAAGAATGGGTCTAATACAAGTAATACTAGGTGACTCAAATTAACGTCATTGGCAACACCCTTGTAGCCTGTTGTATCTCCCTTTTTCTCTGTATATTCAGGCGAAAATAGTTTTTCTCGCGGTCAGAATGTCAGTATGGTGTTGAGTGTATAGATATCTAATCTGAAGAAGGGCAACTTTGAATTAAAGATCGTGGAGGAAGACGATAAGAAACCACTCCACTATCTCTCTTAAGAGCGGTCACGTCAAGAAACGGAAGATATTCGGAGCCATTATTGTCAACCTGTCTAGGAGACATGGTTTTTTTAAAAAAAAATAGTCAGAAATTGAGTCACAACATTATTATTGGATACAGTTAAGTAAAACACCAGTTTTATCATGTTTATTTTAAATACAGCTGTATTTTTTGATACAGTAAATGGATAAATATTTTTGGTCAACGGAGTGGACAGGACCAGCAGTACATATTCTAATTTTATATCTCGTGTATGATGCGACCCCTTTAAAATTAGCTTCAAGATTAGGTTTTTAAATGTTGCATGGTACGCGAGTATATACGGTAAGTTATAGACAGTTGTATGATTGACCCTTTCTTTCTAAATGTATCTAAAACTTCTTGTCTTATATTCTAGAGGATGATATCCCGCTCCCTAAATTGCCGATGCTTTACTGTTCTATTTTAACATTACTAAATAATTATAAAACATTTAAGTTTCTTTCTTTCCAATCATGAAGTAGAGAGACTAAATTGAATCCATTGCTAGGTCTGCTGCTAAGAAAGTTGGTTCACTGTATCGTGTAAGACAATTTTTCTCTTCAGAATCTATCTTACATATCTATAACTCTATTATTCGTCCATGTTTAGAATATTACTGCCACATATGGTCCTGCTATTTAACTTGAGCTCATTGATAAAATCCAAAGAAGAATCAGCAATATTATTGGTCCTGATATGGCGGCTCGGCTTCAGTCACTTTCCCACAACCGTAATGTTGTCTCTCTGTATCTTTTATCTATAAATACTTTCATGGTAGTTGTTCGGATGAACTCTAAGCTATGTCACATAGATTTTTTCATAATGTAAATACACAATGAGGTTTACATTTTCAAATTCTTGTTTTATTCCCCTCCCTCCATAGATAAAAATTGTACATATGGGGACTAGTTAGGACTTCCTAGATATTCTGAGGTATTATGGTGGATGTTGTAAGAATGTCAAGTAAGAATGTGTTATTTTGCTGCAGGGAATACCGTGGTATGTTTGGGTCAATGATTGTGGCTAGCTAACATTAATTTGGAGACTGAAGAAGTCCATCCTTTCGCCCCTAGCCCTTTTGGCCTTGTGCCATATTTCTGCATATTTTTAATAAATATTGCTCTTCCCTAGACTTTTTGAATTTAAGCACAGTACTAAACTGGCATCGAAACCTCATCAATTTACAATTGAGCTGACAACATTGTAAATCGTATGCTAACAATTTCTTTTCTCGCACTTCTCGCTTGTGGAACTTCTTGTCTGGTCCTATGATTTCCAGCCAACTTTAATCTGCAAAATGTTAAATGCAATGTCAATCGCTATCTACTGTCCTCCCAATTACTCATTCCTCTTCCTGATCATTATTAATGTTTCTGTTCCTAATTCTTTCACGTCCAATAAACCCTTGCGTCTTAGTGGCTTTATTACCTTGCAGTAAAAAAAACGCTTTCATCTTCAAAAATCTACATACATTGTCATATCGTTATCTTTTGTCTTCGTAATTTTTATTCTTTTATTGTTCTCTCTCTTTAATAAATGTTTTCACAAAGAGTCACCCCCTTACATCTTAGTGGCTTTATTGCCATGATTGGGGTGAAGTGATTAAAATGATATAACAGAAGAGATCTAACTAAAATACTAACTACACTGGTCAACAAAATGAAACCTTAATTAATTATCTGAGTTGAAAGATTACGAGTCAATTTTTTATGCTGATTACGAATCTGAAGCCAGTTATTCTTTATCAGGTCACATTTTTATGTTAGCGATGTCTGTATTTTTCACGTAATACAATATTTACTTACTTCTTGGTACATAGAATAAAGATGCTACCTACGTTCTATGCTCTACCGTTACAAGAGCCAACCGTCCTGGGCATGACGATAAACTATATCCGCGTCCATTAGCAAGGCCTCTGATCTGGGTTTTTTTTTTAGGAGCATAGAACAACTTCTTAATTGCTGGTGTTCCCAGGTCCGCCTTGACCCGGGGTGATAGCACCTGTTAGGGTCCAAATTCTGGGCAAATAGTTAACCCGGAAACTGGGGTAAAAAAAAACACTATAAAAGTGTAAAAATATGTTTTAATACCAGAAATACTTTGTAAAAAATTATTTCTATCAATAAATTTTTGAAGATAAAAAAAAATGGACTATTACTAACAATATATTTTTTGAAGAAAATATTACCAGCAAGACATTTTTGAAAAAAAATTATTACCAGAAATAGATTTTTGACAAAAAATATTACCAGCAATAAAAATTTTGTCGGCATTAAATAACCAATTGAGGTTGATATGCCGTAAAAGAAAAAAAAAAGAAATTAATATATACTGAGATAGATAGATAGATAGATAGATAGATAGATAGATAGATAGATAGATAGATAAAAATATTACCAGCAATAAATATCCTGTCGGCATTAAATAACCCATTGAGGTTGATATGCCGTAAAACAAACGAAACCAAACCAAACCAAACAAAAGCTAGATTAGGTCTAAAATAGAGTACTATCGTCATATTTTGACAGGATTTGGCCAGTCCCCATTTTTCAGTCTCAATAGAATTTAAAAGTGTCTGAGAGTCCTTGTAGGTGATAAATTATTCTCCACTCTCCAGCCCCCACCTCTCCCAGCTTCTCACTACTTTATTGTCACATCCATGGAAAGTGCTCAGACGAACAGCATTCATTGGCTCTGCCAGTTCTAACCTTGATGACCAGGAGCCGCTACACACAGTCACATTGTAGCAACCCCACCCACATTCCCTCCGTATTCCATTGGTAAGTTCCAATCGTACAGCTTCTTCCCGCGAACC